CTAAATCCTTATAATTATAATTACATAATCTTCTTGCTTCTTGTTTCGTAAAACCCCAATATCATTCGATAAAGTTATACTTGCAATGAAACTTTGGATAGCATTCAAAAATGTGCCCTGCATTAATTACAGCTTCTTCTAACAAGGACTATTGTTCAAGAAAATCAGGCTGCAATGACATGATTCTTTGTGCGCAGCAATCCAACTTTTCTGGGCCATTATCAGTACATTTTCCAGAACATTTTTTGCATACTAGCAGAACCTTTTCTGCAGGCCAGAGTTTTCGCTCTTCAAGCACTTGCCTCAAACCTTTTTGCTTGCCTCTTAACTCCTCCTTTTGATAATCATTTGGAAATACCATCGGTTGCACACATTTTTTTTCAGTTTCATCAATAAAACAACCATTTCGCATCATCGGTTGTTTCCCTCCAGAACTTAAGTTCATCCTTTTTGCGATTAGTGCATCCTCTGCTATAGCATTATGATTAGTAGATTGATCGAAGCAAAACATACCGATACACCTGGGGTGCAATATTTCAAATACTGGGATTACTTTACTTACAAGCTGTTTAAGCATATGCTCTGCCTTCCAATATCCATCTACCTGAACAGAATGAATCACAAATGTTTCTTTATCTTTAATATACGGATTTTCATATAGCTGTTGATCAGTTAGGCATAATAGTCCATGGCAAGGGCACAAAAAAGCAGAGACCATTATAGAACATCCCAGATGTTTTGAGCGCAAAATATTTTTGTCTTTTTGAATCCAAATTCATCACCGCCCATCGTTAGCATAGAAATAACACTCATCATGTGTTATTTGAATGTATTCTTTCTTCCCTAAATTGAGCTAAGGTTCTAATACAAATTCTAATGACTCACCAACAAAATCTTTCATGTTTTTTTTATATACGAATATTCTCTTTAACCATTCGTTCCTATATGCCACCACATCTGGTCTCTTATGACCATCAAAGAAAATATCCTTTCTTCTCTCATCATATTTAAAACCTCACGAATACATATAATTTCTACACATCCTCTCTGATATAGTGTCTTCTTTGATATGACCAATCAATTTTGGAAATAGTGTATCCTCAATATATGCTTTCAAATTACTAGGCATACATACTTCTAGTTTTTGTTGCCTTAACCACTCTATATAATCTTCACTAAAATTCTCGTCATTAATTAAGCTTTCAAGTTTGGTATGTTTACCTTGGCGATAAGGAAGAAGCTCTCCTGTCTTTATGAAATAATTTCCCTATATCTGAATGCATTTAGCCATATAACCCCCTTTATTCCATATAAAACGTGCAATTTGGTCAGCAGCATCCATTTTACCTTGTCCTTCTAACAATAATTGTATATATCGATGTATACTTAGAAAACGTAAATGATCATATGTAAAGATTTTACTGTTCTCCTTCACAGATTTTCTTATTAAACATCATTGGTTAAGTTCTTTCAAATGGATATGTAAATTTTCAGTCGATAACAAAGATGAATCTGGTATAATAATTAAAGAGGAGCATAATGATAAGGATGCTGAAGTGTAAGATTCTTGACAGAAAGTTGTTAATGAACTTGGTTGAAAAAATGTCTCAAGTTTTTTGATTCCTTTTGTGTTCTCTTCATCATTCATTCTTTTTTTTTTTTGTCTTCATGTTGTCGTTCTTGAGGTCCCAGTGTATACTGTTCTAAGGTGTTTTGCAGCATCCTTATGCCATCTGAGAATTTCATTGATAAGCCTTGTTCCTACTCCCTCGAATTCTATTAGTTTATTTTCTGTCCATTCTTCTTGCGATTTAATTGTGGTTATATTTAGTAACTCCATGAAAATTTGGTTCTTTTGGTTAAGATAGCAGCCTTTCTTTCTTGGCAAATTATTTATTTGCTTTTGCCTTTTTGTTCGGGGTGCCATGAAAACAGACAAAGAAGGACGTTCACCAATCAGTTTTATTTTCTTATAAATGAACGGCGGCCTGAAGTGCTTCCAGTTCTTTGTCGTTATTCTATTTGCAATGTCAAAGACCCTTTTTATCATTAATCACTAATCATACTTTGGTTCTGCAATGAAAGCCTTAGTGCATATTTAACTATCCCATATAGTAATTATGGCAAGAAAGTTTTTTTTTTTTAAATCATTGCGTTTTTTTATATGATATAAATTAATTAAAAAAAAAATTTGAACGTAAATGATTATAACCAAAAAAATTGTGAATTATACTGATAGGAGCACTATTGACAAGACAGAATTAGCTCATGTATATATGTGCATATATGCGTACATACATAAGGTTAATGTGAGTACTATATGGCTATGATCAATTTACTAAATACTTATAGCACCAAAAAAATGTACCTGATACGTATATATGTACTTATGTACTTTATGTGCTGGTTTTACAAATTTATTACCAGTTTATATTTGATCTACATATTGATTATATTTTAAAACTAAAACTAGTGCGAATATCGAAAAAACATAATATTGTCAATTACTTACAGTTGTATTTCTGTATTTATATAGTTGGAAAATGAAACTTCGCAAAAAAATGTTTTTGGTTAAGTTGTAATTTTCGGGTGCCCTACTTTACTATCGGAGTAGAAAAAAATTGATTAATAAAATAAATACTCTGCTAAGCAAATAATTAGCATAGCCAATGAGAAGTAGTAGGATAAATTAGTAAATTCGTAATTTGGGTAATTTTAATAAACTAAAAATAATATCCAATTAGAAGAAGTATATATAGCATCCAATCGGAACCAATCGAATGATGCAATATGATTGGCTATTTGTATTTTATACTGCATACACGAATTTGAAACAAGGTCACGTAACTGGCGAGTTAAAGCTTCCGGCACCATATATAAAAAAATGGTCACAATTAGTATTGTATAAGCTTTAGTACAAACCTATAATAAAACCATTAGGTGTAGAAAACTAAATAATTAAGAAGACAGAATTTTACTTTAAAATTCCTAAGTAAAAAGGTAATACAAATTTTTGATAATGCTGTTAAACTAATGAAAGCTTATAAAACATCTTTATAGAAACAGATAAACAAACTGGATAACAAAGATATGTAAAGAAGCATATAATCAACTAGACTACCAGAATTACTAAAGAAAAAGAATACTAAAGTATATCATACTAAGTTATCTAAATTGGAAGTTTAGAAAGTTTGTTAGTTCTGAATTGTAGTTAGTAAGTAATAATAAAGAAAATATTAAAAAAATAGATACTGAAATTTGAGTAAACTTTACAAGAGTAAAAATAGTATAACATAGTGATTTAAGATTAATCTTAACTGCAAGTATTAAGTAACTATAGTATATTATATAAAACTAGATTGCTATATGTAGAATATAGAAGGCTCTAATAATAATGCCTCTGAGAATATACTACATAAAACAAGATATAGATCCTAAAAGTATAAGTAAACATCTAGACCTTCTTGACTAATATATATAACAGAGATAGTTTAGTAATACAGTAAGAGTTGTAGTACAGAGATTTTAAATAAACAATGAGTTACAGATATAGCAGCTAGTATAAAACTTATATATTCTAATATAAAAAGACTCTTTTGAGGTCTTGACTATAAGTTTCTATATCTTAATTACTGAATAAAAAGCTTTAGCTTCAAAAAAAACTAGTTTAATCTATATTACAGCTAATACAAAATTTAGTTAATATTAAAGTTTATATAATAAATATTCAATAATAAGTTGTAATTAAAAAATCCAAAACAAATATTAATTTTAAAAATATTAAAAACTTGCAGAAAAACAACTTTTTATGCATTAACAAAAAAAAGTTTTTTTATTTAATTTTATTATAAAGCTCATTGACTCTAACCTTAATATAACTTTTAAGAATAATTTAAATATTAACTTTAATATAAATAAACTCAATATATAACAACAAAATTGTTTTATTATATGTTATATGAACTTCAACATTAGTCATAACAATATATATATATATATAAAAGAATTAGCATAACTTTCTAAGTATAATTAAAATTGTTTTAAATATATGCAAAATAAGTTTTAGACTATATTATAGCAGATAATACTAAAAAGAATAAAGATAATATTTTGTATTTACAATAATATTAAAATTTAAGCTATTTGCAAGAATAGTAATATCAAAAACTTAATTTAAAATATATGTTATTAGTATTTAAATTAAGAAGTTAGTAATAACAGCAAGATCTTAATTTAAAATATATGTTATTAGTATTTAAATTAAGAAGTTAGTAATAACAGCAAAATCTTAATTTAAAATATATATTTATAACAGATTTTAAACTATTATTAAAATACTTTAAAGAAATTAATAACAGATAAATAAAATATAAAAGATTATAAAAACTATTAATCTAAAAATATAATTTAAAAGTTATTATAAATAATATAATAAAAGATGTAACAAACTAATATTAGCTATTAACTTTCAAGTAGCAGGTCTAAAGTTCAAATTCTAGTGTTATAAAGTAAATTTTAGCATAGTATATTATATAGTAGTATTAGTAATTATATATATATTTATTATTATATTTTATATTATATTTATTATTAGTTATTAGTTATTAGTTATTCAATAGTTATATTATATAGTAGATAGATAAAAGGATCTTAATTGGCTATTAAAAATGTGATACAGCCACATGACACTAGGTAACATTTGTGATATTACTATCATTTTACAAACCCCAAGTACCTTTATACAAGTTTCATGTATTCTAGCACCAAATTACTGTGCCAAGTGCTGTAACACAAGAATCTCAAGTATTCTTGACATGAACCCCAAGTGTTTCTACATAAACCTCAAGTATTTCTGCACAAATTCTAAGTGTTTTTGCATGGATCCAAGTGTCTAAACACAAGCCTCAAGTGTTTCAAGCATGAATGACAAATAATATAAACAATATTTCCAGTTGCCTCTGCACAGTCTCCACTATCCCAAGCACAGTATTATTTAATATTGTTTGAACCTTCACTATTCCAAGTACAATAATATCTAATGTTGTTTGGACACCCATTATCCTGAGTACAGTATCAAGTAATGTTGCTTGAACTTCCACTATCCCTGTTAAGTAAAAAGATATATAAAGAGTAGCTTTTACCCTTTTTTGCCAATTTTAAGTTTTTATACTTTAATTTAGATCTTTTTATCTTTACTTCTAATTTGTAAAAGTGATACTTCCCCTCTAGAGTAATTTCTACAGACAAGGTTGTCACTGTGTGTTCATTTAATAAAAGTTAATCTATATACTATTACTATCTTAAACTGTTTATCTGCTACTATGTAGTAAAGTAAACTACTACACCTTCACTCTATATATATTTATAATAGTTAATTATTGTACTAAGTAACCTTGTTACTTAGTTATATTGTACTAAGAAGACTACAACTATGTAATACTAGTAATAGTAAAAATTTGCAATTTTTTCTATATTATGATTAACTGTCTTTTATAATTAGTTGGGATTAGATATCTGTAATCTATATTATACCAATATAACTAAAAAGTCTAAGTATTTATACAATGTTATATAAAGAAACACAAACTGATACTGGACAGTATGAACTCATGATAAGTTCTTAGGTTATGCAAATTACAAGAACCAGATAAGAAGACAGAAACCCACTTGGAAGACTTAAATAAAGAGATAGTTCAAGCTACTGTAAAGACTAAATCTATGAAATAGAGCTAGAACTTATAAATCCAAATAAATATGCTAGTCTTTAAAAAAGAACTAGATGAACCAATCAGACCATCAGAATTTTCAGATTTTAGAAAAAAAAAGTACATGCCAAAGAATATATAAACCAAAAGTATATAGTTATGATCTACCTTTCTAAACTATTTAGATTGGCAGTTTGGTGAAACTTGAATTGAATACCAAAGTAATAGAGATATGTTGTAAAGTCAGTACTGAAATTGGAATAAACTTTACAAAGACATAGCAGTTTAATGATACATCCTAATTGCAAATGTTGATCTTAGCTATAGCAATACCAGGTTAGCTATAAGAATGAGATACAAAAGATTTTGAAAGGTTTAATACAAAGTCAAAGGTTTATCATATAAGTAAATCATTTTAAAAACTTAGTAATCATGGCATATTTGTACTGGTATCAACTAGAATATTTTGGTAGGTGTAAGTAAATAAGTAGATATAATAATTAGAGTGTTTAAATAGAAAACTTATAAGCAAGTTCTAGGTATAGCAGCTAGTATAGAACTTTCAAGCAAACTACTTAAATTAGACAATAACTAAAGTTATACAAGTGGCTAGTTGTATACTCTTTTTATAGTTGCTCTTTGT